AATTATAACTGGTAAGCAAAGGATAACCATGGTAATAGTGATCGTAACATTTATAATGCGAAAAGGAGATAATAATGATAATAATAATGATAATACTAATAATACTGATAATACTAATAATAATGATAATGATATTATTTATAGTTATAATGATAAAGATGAGGATGATAATAATAATGAAAGTGATGATAATAATAACAATGATAATGTAAATACTAATAACAATGACGATAATACTACCTATAATCATAAACATTCTGAAAACAACAAGATATTGATATTGATGATAATAATCATGAAATCCTTATCGATATCAACAGCTTTAATAATAAAAAAAAGATAAATAAATAATAATAAAGGTAAAAGATAAAATAAAATGAAATAAAAGAATGCAATCCTCTGTGTTACGTACAAACTAACGGATTAATTGGGTGTCACAGAAAGGATAACAAAATAATTCACTTATAACGTATAAAGAAATTGCATAAAAGGAGGATATACAGGGATAGAAACAACATATAAAGTTTATGATGAATCTTTCTTACTAATATTACTACTTTCATGACCTGATTTCTGTTTTCTACTTTATCCGAAAAATTATTATTAGACCTAATATGATTATCCTTATTATCACTAGATCACTTTTATTTTATTATTATTTTTTGTGATATCAACATTGTCTATTATTTCTTTTCTTTATTTTTTTTCTTCTTCTCTTCTCTTATCTATCTCCTTTTCTCCTTCTTATTTTCTTTCCTTCTCATTCTCTGTTTCCACTATTCCTGTTGTTTCGTTTTTCTCTCTGCAACCCATACATAGTGTATCAATCCATCTCCTTCTCTCTTTCCTTCTTTCATTGTCTCTGTCTCTTATTTTTCATTCTGTCGTACTATCTCTTTATCTTTTACTGTCCCTGTATTTTTTCACTGTTTCCTTTTCACGTTTTCTTTTTGGCATTTCGCTCTGCATTAACATCGTAAATTTCCGGAATTACTCGTATATTCCACGTATTTTTTTTTCTCTTTAATCTTTTCCCGTTTTTGTAGACATCAGAGTTATCAATTTCTCCTTGTATTTGCTTTCGTTATCTGGTCTTCCTTCCTCTCTTCACTTTTTTTTTGTTTTTGTTTTATTCTTCATTTCCTCGCTTTTTATCGCCCTTTCTCTCACTTCCTTGCTTTCATCACTCTTCTTCTACTCACTTTCTTCGTTCTTCTTTCTTTTTTTCCTCTTTCTACTCTCATTCCTTTCCTGTCTTCTCGTTTCCATCATGTATTTTCTTTTTCTTTGTCTTCCTTTCGATTACATTACAATTTTCTCTTCTCCTTTCTTATTTCATAATTCCCTTTTCCTCCTCTTTCTTCTTCCTTCTTTTTATCTTGTTCTTCCTCCTCTTCCTCTGAACGTACCTCTGCTCACTCGGCTTTGTGTTCTAAGACTTTCCATCCTTCCGTTTCTCTCTCATTCATTCTTTCTCTCTTTCTCCATTTGTGCCTGATTTTTTGTTTCTGTTTGTCTGTTTGGTTCTCTCTCTTTCTCTCCCTCTCTCTACCTCTGCCTCTTTCACTCTTTTTCTCTGCCTCTGCCTCTTTCTCTCTCTTTCTCTGCCTCTGCCTCTCTCTCTCTCTCTCTCTCTCTCTCTCTCTCTCTCTCTCTCTCTCTCTCTCTCTCTCAGACTCTGCTTCCACCCTCTCATTCCCTTTCTTTTTCTCCTTTCCTCAAATCCCCCATCTTTCTCTTTGTCTCTCTCCTCTTTCCATCCATCCATCTTCTCTTTTTAATTTATCCTTTTTCCTCTTTTTCTTTCCTACCTATCCACCTCCTTTATTCACTCCATCTGCCTTTTTTATATATTTTCTATTACTTCTCTTCCTAATTTACTCTCTCTCTCTCTCTCTCTCTCTCTCTCTCTCTCTCTCTCTCTCTCTCTCTCTCTCTCTCTCTCTCTCTCTCTCTCTCTCTCTCTCTCTCTCTCTCTCTCTCTCTCTCTCTCTCTCTCTCTCTCTCTCCTCTTTTCACCCATCGATCTTCTCCGTTAAAATCTTGCCTTTCTTCTCTCTTCCTTCCCCACTTATCCACCTCCTTTATTCATTTTCTCCTCTCTTCCTTCCCCCATCCATCCAACTCCTTTATTCATTTTCCCCTTTCTTCTCTTCTCTTCTCCTCTTCTTCGTGCGCCGCTTCCTCGCCATCAACACACGAGATTCGCCGCCTCGACCGAACAGGATCTCTGCGCCATTTGCATTTTCATTCGAGTGTCCCTTTGGGCCGATTTATGAGAGTTATTCTGAATAAGGACACGGGGAGAGGGAGTTGGGGAGGAGGGGGATGAAGAGGGGTAAGAGGGGGGGGAGAAGAGGGGGGCTGGGAGAGGGTTAAGGGGATGGGAGAGAGGGTGGGAGGTGGTTAAAGTTATGGTGGAGGAGAGGGGAGAGGGAGGAAGTGGGTAGGCGTTGGGAATAGAAAGCATTTAAAAGCAATGAATGAATGAAAATGACATTAATCATTAACAACATAATAACTGTTTCAATATAAACTATTATAACTGTTTTAATACAATGATACAACAACAGTGGCGTAATAGTAAAACAATAACAACAGTAAACTAAATACATCGATACTGTTATGTGAGAATAACATATGAAATACAATTAACAAAAGGAATAAGGAGAGAGAGAAAATAAGGAAGAGTAAATATCGAAAAAGTAGAAAAAAATAACAACAAAAAAGATATTTGAAATGGAAATGAAATACAAAGAATCGAGAAAATAAAGATGTTAAAAAGAAAGGATGGGAAAGAAAGTAAGTGAGTGGAAGGGAATGTAAAAGAAATAGAGTGATAACAATAGACAGATAGATGGACGGACAGATATATTGACAGATAAGTAGATAGACAGATACGCAGAAAGGTAGATAAGATGATATACAGATAGGCAAATAAATAGACAGATAGATAAATAGATAGAGAGATAGGTAGCTAGATAGATAGACAAATAGATAGATAGCTAGACAGAAAGATAGACAAATGGATAAACAGACAGATAAATAGATCGACAAATATAGAAAGACAGATGAATATAGAGAAAAGAGAGAGAGAAAGAGAAAAACAGAGAAAGAGAGAGAGAAAGGATATATATGGAAAGAGGGGGGAAAGAAAGAGAAAAAAAATAGAAAGTGAGAGAGAGAGAGAAATAGAGAAAGAGAGAAAAAGACAAAAATGCCTTGTGTCTAAAGTGACCTCAGATTTCCCCTCCCTTTCCCCCCCTTCCTCACACCCCCCCTTCCTCTCCGGGATCGCCGCTGGAACACCAAAGTCCCATTCGTTAGAACAATTCCCCCTCTCCCCCCCCCCCTGCCTTTTTACTACCTTGCTGCCCCCTCCTCCCCCCCCCCTTTCCCTTCCTTTCCCCCCTTTCTCCCCTTCCTCCTCATTCTCATTCCGTCTTCCTTCCCTTCTGATCTCCTTCCCTCCCGATCTTCTCTCCCCCCCCTTCCTCCTTTCCTCTCTCTCTCTCCCCCTCTCCTTCCCTCCCCCCCCCCCTCGGTCGCCTCTTCTTTCGGCTTCAGTTTCCTATCTCTTCCTTTTTTCTTTAATTTCCGATTCTGTCCGTCTCTTCTTCCTCTTCTTTCGCCTACGTTTCCTCCCTTCGGTCTTATTTTTTTTCCTCTTCCCTCTTTGTTTCCATTTTTCTTCCCTTTTCCTCCTGACCCTTACTTCCTCTCCTTCGCCTCTCTCTTCCCTGTTTCCCCCTTCGTTTGTGTTCCTATTTCTCTCTTCTTTTTTTCTCTGTTATCTTTTCCCTCTCCATTCCTTTATTCTATTCCTTTCGCAGTCCCTCTCGTTTTATTCCTTTTTCCTTCATTCTCTTCCCCTTTCTCCTCTTTCTTTCTTTTTCTCCATTCACTTCCCCTCTATATTTTTCCTTTTTCCATGCTTCTTTCTTTTCCCTTCCTACACTTCTCTTGTCTATCCCTTTCCTTCCCTCTTCTTCTTCTTCCATCCTATCCTCACCCTTTCCATTTTTCCTTCTTTCCTCTATCCTCTCCACCCTTCCTCTTCCCTCCTCTCCTTCTTTTCCCTCATTTCACCTTCCTCTTTTATCCTCCCCTTTCCCCGTTTCCAATTTTCCTTCCTTCTTTTTTTTTTTCTTCCCTCCACCCTCTTCCTCCTCTCCCTCTCCCCTTCTCTCCATAATAATCACCATCCCAAACCCACGAAAAGAGAGAAATAAAAGGGAAGAATAAACAAAGAAAGAAATAAAAAAAACAAAAACATAAAAAATAAACAAATATGTAAATGTAATTCCACATCTCCGAACCTTTGCTCAAACGCCCTTAAACTCTCCTGACAGAATGGCGATAACAGCAACTCATAATGTGTTAGCTTCCTACTAAACGTGGACCCCCCCACCCCCCAGCCTCCCCTTCTCCAACCCCCTGCCCTTCCTCCGCCTACAACCCTTATTCAATAATTCACGCGCTTTGGAAGCAAGAATAACTTTCAGAAG